TGATGCAATAGGCCACACCATGAAACCATGAAAATTTCAATTTTATTTTAAATTTTTAACCCTGAAGCCTATATGCGGCAATGAAGCAATATTTGTTGTCAAAAACTAGCAAAAACTCTAAAGCTGTGTAGCTAAATACCTCTTGAAGGTTTCCCTTCAATTTGTAATTTAATGTCAGATATCTAAATGATATATTTCTTATGTCACTACGTAAACACAGAAATGCTACAATAAGTGTCATTGTTAAAATATGTTATGAACCTCCTCTTTGAGAGGGAAAAAGTGAAATTAATATATGTAGGGTGGTGTAGTAGAATAGAGAGATGGTAAATATAAACAAGCACAGAATGTACTTCTTTTTACACATATTACTTTATCTGTGCATTAGTGGCGTGGTTGTTTATTTAACAGTAAATGTGTTACTCAGAAAGCTAAGCGTATTTTAAGACTTCCAATGTCGTTGAGTTTTACGACACATATGTAATATTTTTCATGATACGAATTACCAGGGATAATAAATTTCGCTGAAAAGAAAATCCAGGATATGACACTCTCCACTGTATTTCTTAATATAACAGGACTATTGGATTTATGGATAAGGGTGTAAGAAGTAATGAATAGATAAGGACTTCTAGGGGTAAAAATGAGTCAGTTATAATGCTTCAGATTCGTGAAGATCAAACTTTCATTTAGGCATTAAATATCTTCGTCGCCATTTTGAATACTACTATTGCCTCTTCTTTCATCGTCGTGGAAATATGGTACATTGGTTTAAAGACTTGACTTTCAGCCACTTATCCTAGAGTTCACAAGGCTTAATGTGGTTCATGGCCCAATGTATGGACAATTTGCTGCCGGTAACTGAATTCTGATATTCACTTTTATCTCTCCTCAGATTTTCCCTCATACCAGGTTTCGTAATGCAAAAGACTATCCGATTACCTAACAAAATGTGAAGTCCTCGTGTTTTGTTGAACCTTCACTACAGTAATCAAGAAACGTTCTATAGAAAGGAGAAAAGGGTTTCTCAAATTCCATGACACTGGGTACTACAGACTGACTGACTGCAAAGAGTACTTTCATACTACTGACATCAACCAGTATTGATTGCTAGCAAGACCCAAATGATTTAAGTAGCAGATGGCCGTTTTGCTCGTTTGAAAACGAGTTCATCAGGGGTGTGTGCAGTTTGACTCATCTCAGAAAGTGTTATCAGTTCAAGGCATCCAATTTCCGGCTAGCCAGCTGTGTTAACTGGTCATACCACAAATCAAACTAACAATTTGTAATCTACACAATACAAATAATGAAATTTCACCGAAGTTCCCCTTAGAGATCAGATTACTGAGATGACAATATATGATCTGCTTGATATCATACGTGGTAATCAAGAAAGCAAGCCTAAGCTCCTAGTGGGATTTTGAACCCAGCCTAGGAAGCAATGCTGCTTGATGCGCGTGGTATCCGACTACTTATATAAACCAACAAGTAGTATATGACATAGTGCAATTATGATTGCTTCCTTGATTATCAAGCAGATCAAATATTTCACCTTAGACTGTTTAACTTACGAATTGCGACTTCATCTTATTAAAAGTCTCTTATTCATTCCTCCAAGTCTTGACCTGAATAAGAAAATAACTAATAATATAGAAATTTCATTTGAATATGCCTCTCAGTGTATACTTCGTTAAAGTACATCTTTATTTTTTTTTTACTTTATTTTTGTCTAACGAAACTAAACAGTAGGAAAGGTTCTTAAAAAGCTTTTTTAGTAACCGACAATAAATTGAGTTACAAATCTTTTCTATTATTTCAATAAATTGATAAATTCAACAAAATAAAGAAACCCCCAACTAACGTTTCACTAAATAATGAAAAATATTTAAGGACATTTTAGTCTATCTTAATATTTTAAAATAGTCAATATAAAAATAATAATAATTTTAAGATGGTTTCTATTTTTCGTTTGCGAAATAGGCAAATCAATTATCAGTAAGGTTATATATATTTTTTTTCTGACATACTGCTGTGAATGAAGTTCGAAGCCACTAGCCACTTAGATGTATCATTACAACTTTTGATTTAAGTATGAAAGTAATGTCTTTTCGCTTCAATTCAACGCAAAAGTGAGAAAGACCAAGAGTCAACCCATATGAAATATAACTCAACCGAAATAACATTGGTTGGTGGTCGGGCTAAAAAATCACGAATTGCTAGAAGTTAGAATTCATAGGCTGACCATTGGATCAGGTCCCAGTGGCTGAATGGTATACGAGCTTGCCTTGTAACCAGAAGGTCCTGATTTCAAACTCCAGTGGATGAGTACTGCCTATGAGTACCAAACTAAGATAAAACAGCTGTTCAATACCCCCTGGTTTTCAATGACTGACTGATATCAGCTCATAATGAAATCCTCCAGTCAATCAAACAAAATCCCTACAAAATACCAGTACTTGGAAATTGATCCGATGCTCATTAGCAACTGGCCCTATTCAGGTAGTTACCTGGGATTCTGGTGAGAAGCCACTACCAGTAGGATTCAACAGGTTGAAGGTGAGGCACTAACTCATCTAAAAAGACATTGGTTAGTGGTCGCGCTATGTCACGTATTGGCAGAAGTTAGAATTCATGAGCCACTGGATTGGGTCCCAGTGGCTTAATGGTCTAGGAGCTCGCTATCTTCGTAACGAGAAGGAGCTGGGTTTGAACTCCGGCGGGTAGTACTGATGAAGAGTCCCAAACTGTGACAAAACAGCTGGCTATCCATTACTCCCGGTTGGTTTCCCAACGGTTCTCTAACTGATAGTAATCCTTGTTTTAATCTGAAACAAATATTCCGCTACTAATTTATTTTTAATCTCAAAAATAAATAGTTTAGGTATATCAGTTTGATTCAACTGACATAAATTAAGGTAAGAAAAGGAATTTCCAAGTGTAGATTCCAGGGATTTGGACAGAAAGAGAATTTTTCAGACACTTTTTACCCTGTTGCTATCAATTATAACATGGTGAGAGTAGTTTTTTTTTTAATTAACATTATTTATTTTCTATGCAGAAATTGAGCGAATCTCCATTCATTTGGTTATGTTCTGTAGTGCTTTCTTTGTGGAAATTTTACCTTACACACCTTACCCGATTTAAGCTAATCTGTACACTAAAATTTGAGTAGCAAACTCTTATGAGTAGTTCATCAAATATGTGTAGAAGAATACACTATTTAGTGAAAAGAATCTTTTCACTAAGTCTATTAACAAACTGTACAGTTATAGTCTATGAATTTTAAGAAAATTAACTTCGTGTGAAAATTTAAACAAAAACATTTGGATACTGATAATAGTAATGTGAAATGCGATAAAATGTTTATGATTGTAATCATACATCAGTATCAAGCGATAAAATAAATAATACCATACGTGAAATAGTTCATATCATGTTTACATATTCGAAAGGAGTTTAAAAATTAATACTGATAATAATCTTAGTCGGTGAATAGAAACGTGACGCAACATGATGAGAGGTCTAATAAGATAATAATGCTGAGTTACAATATATTAAATGGGAGAAGTGTAATAACTCCAGAAACTATTCAAAGTGAGACTACAAATTAGTATACAATTGGTGGATGGTGGCTAGCAGTGGAATCCAGGATGCGCATTTCGTCCTATTTGGGACTCGTCAGCTGGATGTACCTGCATTTCTCAGTGAGTAATGATGTTCCCACCGAGGCTCGAACCCAGTTCTATTTTGAATCATTTGATTGATAGCGGTCACCAAGTGGAAAGAAGTAGTGCCTTCAAAGTTATCTATCGCATTCCATCGAACCTTTCGAACGGAATTTGAACCCGCCTTTTACACATATCCAAAGCTCTGGGAATTCGAGAGAATAATTCTAGTCTTTGCTTACAAAAGAAGCTTGTTCCACCTTTGTCTCTCCCTTGGCCTAGGTCAATTCTATTCAAAACCCTCCCACCCTTTCTTATTTTCCACTTCCTTCGTAGACTTGTGATATTTATTTAAACCCTGATTATCTGTCCACTTCACCTTTAGTATTACGTAACTTTTAAGATTTGACCTAATTTATTTATTGAATTGTCCACATATACACATATTACTACCTTCGTTATTCTTATCGCCACATGAATAAACCTTATTATCGTTATTTTGTTATCATTAAATCATCGTTATCAGTGACGTTCAAAATATTTACCACTTTATTACTATCATCATTATTATTTGATCCACAAACTCACCGTCATTTGTTAAAAATTTCTTTATATAGATCTACGTAAATTAGAGTAAAGCCTAAAGAAGATCTAATTGAAAACAATATTGTTCGCTTATATGTTCTGTTCTAATAACAACAGTAGCCATCGTAATAACATGGGAAAAGTGCGTCGGTGGCACAGTGGTTAGGACTCTCGTTGACCATGCACATGATTCGGGTTTCGATCCCCCGCCGACGAACACCTGATATCTATGGTCGGCCTGCAAAATTTGAACTACCGATATCACATGCTGAAAATTCCATACTTGTACCAAAAATACAGTGTGGAGTCAAGCTATAAAAAAAAGAAAAATGAAAAGTAAAAATGAATGAATGTTTCATTTCTCTTTTCTGTTCTGCAGCCATGATAGAAATAGTGACTTTACATACTTTTTTTTCTACACAAACACTAGGCCTTAGCTGTCTTAAGAAGTTTGAAACGATGAAGATGTGGCAGGTTGGTATGATTTTGATAGATGATTTTAAAATCGTAGTCAGCGTTGGTTAAGTGTTAGAAGTCTGTCAGTTGTTTTGGAACAGAGCTCGATGTACCCTTCTTCTTTGCTGTTTAAAGTCATGTTGCACAACTTATGGAGAGGTAGCATGGTTACTGAGCTGCATTACACTATCTATTAAACCATCCTAATAGTCAATTCATGCGTAATAGTTAAGCATGTTTCTAATCTACTCACTTTATCTACACTAAATAATATTTTTCCTTCTTCAATTTCAGTACAGAAATTACCAAAACAATACAGATCTCGTCTTCTTTGGCGTCCAAGTGCTATTACACCGAATGTGGTAAAACGTGTCTTAAAAAGATCAAATTTTCGGATGACGTTAAGTAAGATGATTCTGTTATATTGTACTTTAAAATAAGTAATTACAGTTTTTTCATCAGAGATGAACAAATATTATCGTTTCATTCGCCTCTGTCTCCCAAACAACTTTATTGAGTGAAGTAGGACAGACTCACTGTTTTACAAATGGTAAATAATCCAAGAAAGAGGCAATATACTGATAGTATGTTATTGTGTTTTTGGGGGCTAAGTCTACATAAAGACAGATAAGTAAAGCAATACAGACTTTATTCAGGTGTTGGTTTGTAGGGATTTGGTTGATTGGTTACAGGATTTCATCATCAGCTAATATTGGTTACAGAACCATTACAAAACTTGCTGGAAGTACTGAACAGCTATTCAGTCCTATTTTGGTACCCTTCAGAAGTACGCACCCATCGCCACGGTTCGAAAGCAGGACCTTCTGGTTTCAAGACGAGCTCGTAGACCATTAAGCCACTGGGACCCGATCCAATGGCCAGCCCATGAATCCTAACTTCTGCCAATTCGCGATACAGCGCAACCGATAGTCAATGTCTTTGGTGAGTCTTTGTCCTCACACCCGACCTGGGGTTCTAGTGAGAAGTTGTGACCAGTAGGGTGCAGCAGGCCGGGTATGAGGACAAATACTCTCCGAAGACATTGGCTAGAGGTCGCGCTATGTCGTGAATTGGCGGAAGTTAGAATACATGGGCTGGCCATTGGATTGGGTCCCAGTGGCTTAATGGTCTATCAGCTCGCCTTGTAACCAGAAGGTTCTGGTTTCGGGCCGTCGCGGTGGGTGCGTACAGGTGAAAAGTCCCAAACTAGGACTAAACAGCTGTCTAGTACTCCCAGGTTTTCCAGTGGTCCTCTAACTAATGTCAGCTTATGATGGAATCCTGTAACCAATACAGCCTTTGTTTGCCACTGAAATGTACTACACCGTTTATTTTACCTAAACAAATACAAAACAAGCATACAGCACAGTTTACCTTAAAACTTTTGAATATTAAGTGAAAGAAGAAATATTTGACACAAACGTTGGTTGATAACAATCATCCAGACAAGTTCATCAGGAGATATAAAGTAGTCAGAACAACAAGACCTACCATCCAACTCGCCCCTAAGAAAGACGTGTATTTGGCAGCTTGACAGCTATACGAAGATTGGACGCTGCTGATAAAAAGACTTTTTTGCAGTTAAGATCATAATAATTGAGATTGTGAAGCCATTATATCCACCTAAATCCTCTGAACATGAGAAAAATGATGTCACATGTCACTGTATTTATCAATTTGAATACAGATGTGACCAGACATACATCGAGAGGACTCATCCATCTCTATAAGTAAGGGCTGGCTTCACAGAATATTCCTAAGTGGATCCAGTAGTAAATAGAATCTCCAGAACCCATTAACGGTGAGTACAGGAAACCCAGCTCTTCTATTGCAAAACATATTATAGAGACGGGACATAAAATTCGTCATCACACTAAACCACCTTCCTTGATAAACTCTGTTTTGATACCAGCCAGGGTAGACGTATTATTACCTCTGCTATTTACTGTAGTGGTCTTCATTGTTATTTTGACCTTTCATATGTCCTTTCGACTTGACCTAAATTTATTTTCTCACTTCTTAACTCTTTATTAATTTCATATATACACATTCCTATGACAAGTCTGTGTGTGATCAGATTGTTCGAAATGTGTTGTGTAAATACATAAAATGAACTAATTGTTTTAAATATTCAGTGAATTTAATTTTAGTATCAGTCAGTAACAGAGTGAATAATTTGAAAATTAAAGAATGTTATGTACTTGCCATTACTCAAACAGCTTGAGGCACAGTCTAATTATTAAAGGAAGAAGAGTACCCTAGTAAGATTCATATTCTACCTTAGACTCAAAATAGAGTGATTTGACCGCCATATTTATAAGTTTTCCACTTAACCTATAGCTCTTCATGAAATTAGTTAGTGTTCTTAAATTGATCACTATTTAATGATCATTATAACTATTTTGTGTTAAATATTCATAAAACTTGCTGTTTAAATATGAAATATAAGCCCTAAGCTAAATATATTAACAGTGCAGTGTACTTTGTTTAATGCCATTTTGAGCACCAGTCATTAGTAGCGTTTGTGACATACTATCTGTCAGAATTAATGACATCCTGTGTGTAACAATTTTTAAAAGTACCTCAAGACTCAATTACATTTTTGGAGAGCATCTGAATCGGGAATTGTTGGCTAAAGTGAAAATGAGTCTGTTCAAATGTATTGCGGATTTGATAGACCATAGATGGTTTAACTTATCAGGAATTCAATATAGAACTGCATATACTTGTCCAGCTTCGAAATTAACGGTACATTAGGTCTTTTAAATGATGACCCGTGGAAATTAGGTTTATAAATTTCACGTATATCTTGGATGTAGTTGGGTCAGTGGCAAGGTGGTTGGGACTCTCGACGACCATGCACACGGTCCGAGGTTCGATCCCCTGCCGATGCACACCTGATATCTATGGCCGGCCTGCAAAATTTGGTCTACCGATATCACATGCTGAGAATTCCATACTTGTATCAAAAATACAGTGTGTAACTTATTTTGTTTTTACTTTTATTTTTGATTGCAGCTTGATTTCACACTGTATTTTTGGTACAAGTATGGAATTTTCAGTATGGATATCGGTAGCCCAAATTTCGCAGGCCGACCATAGATATCAAGTGTTCGTCGGCGTGGGCTCGAACCCCGGGCCATGTGCATGGTCGGTGAGAGTCCTAACCACTGTGCCACCGACGCACAAGCTGTAATAAAAAAATACATAGTCCAGTTAGCATTTTAAAATGTATTGCTAGTTTTTCATATTATACGTTTAATTCATGTAGTAACCAGAGATTTCTCATCTCAGTCTACTGAATATCATTTGTTGTTGATGGTTAGAGGCCACTGGAGGGAATCTTTGGACCTGGACTTCGTGCTTGGTGAGACTCATCATCAGGGCGCACCTGCAGTTTCGAAGCAACACAAGTTTCTTCTGCGATTTGAACCCATATCACCCAGTGCTTCACTCACAGAGGTTACCACTGGACTATTTGGGCTCGTGATAGACCAGCTATGGGACTGTATTAGAGAATTTAATCGTACATTAGGAAGTGACTAATATCATGCGTCCAGTCCTTCGTTCGGTTCAGAGTGAAGTTGAATATCAGAAGGTAAACGAGTTCCTTCAAGACTGCAGACATGCCCTGCTAATGGGTACTAACAGCCAAGAAATCTGCCTATGACCTCCAAATATCTAACACAGTAATTAAGATTACACCGTGATGGCGAACCATCTAGTACGGTAGCCAAATTGCGAAAGTGAGTAATAGAATTCAGTATGCACCAAACAAAGGACCTGGTCCATGCCATTATTTACTACCTAATGTCTAGTCGAAGGACGTCGTTTGTAAGACGAAGTACTCATCTTCCACATAATAGACAGGAACTTATAATATCTTCGTATAAATTATTTTTAATTCCTCATATTGGCAAACATATACGATTAACTCATCTTATCAACAGAATATTGCACGCAAGAGAAGTTAGCTGATAAATTGATGATAGTAATGAGAATAGCTTTATTTTAAACAACATGTTCATGTAGAGTGCCTAATTTCAGCATGCATTTGTCCACTTCCCTTAAAGAAAACAGTAATCTACAGTAAATCACTATATGAAATTTAGTCTGGTCTGTAAAGTGCTCCAACGCCTGTCACATTTCTTCCTTCAAAACAGACCAAGCCATAAATGCTCGTGAATATAAACTCTTTTCCAAGGACATAAAAGGACGGTTAAAAAGCTAGTATAACTGAGTAAATGTGACTCAGTTTGCTTTGTGGAAAATCGAACAGCTCAGTAATTTAATCAGGCTGCTGTCTAGATTAGCTGATCCTAATAAGATAAGAAATCTGGAGAATAGTTCAGCCGTAGGTAGCACTACATGCAATTACGCACCACCATACAATAGGATGATGGGATAAGATGACGGCTTTAAAATCTAATGTAACAAGGTGGAGGGAGAGACTGATAAGAGAAGCTTTATTTATCTAATCAACTGAGAGGTAAAACGTAAAATAGGAATGATTCAACACCTGTCCAGTTGGACAGGTAGAAAATTCTACTATCCCAACAACAAATGGGAAAGAATAAAGGAAACTATACAACTCAAGTTTCGAAGTCGTGTGATTATAACTGATATGATTATGAACATTAAATTGTGTTCGAAACGTCATCCAGTAAACGATAATTCTGTTTCATTGTCTGATATTCCTAATAGACAAATTTAATATGGAATTGCTTTAATTAGTCCTACTCATCTTCACTGTGTAAGTCAGTATATCAAGATACGATCATGCTCTCTTAATTGTTATTTTTATTCATTTCAACCTTTTTAGAATCATCTGAATGGATTGGATATTATGGGAATCACTTGAAACCATTTGGTTTTCGTCCGATACGTCAATATCAAAAAGTTAATCATTTTCCTGGTTCATTTCAATTAGGCCGTAAAGATAAACTATGGATAAATTTAAACCAGATGAGATCATATTTTGGCAAGAAGTCAATTGATTTTGTGCCAAGAACATTCTGTCTACCAACAGATTTAAAATTATTAAAAGAATTTTGGTCACGTTATGAAACACCGAATTCAACATCATCGAATATAGATGGATTATCAACAGTTAATACAAGACCTCGGTGGATTATGAAACCGGTAGGTTGAAGACAGCTGATTTTTATTCTCTCAAAATTTCTGTAACGATTAGATTGATTTTCTGAGGACCGGCTAGTAAACCGGTGGCGAACTAGTAAAATAGGCAAGGAGACCACTGAATAATATTGCTCTTCACATCATCCACAGTAATGCCCAGCAGTACGCTCCGTCCTCTTTTATGGCTCTGAGACCTGGCCATTGAGAGTGGAAGAAATAAAAAGACTAGCTGCCTTTGATCATAGGTATCTGCGTTCTGTCTCCCGTGTGAAGTGGTATAATAAGGTGAGCAATATTGAGGTTAGGCATAAAGTCCTAGGTAAAGAAAGGAAATCAATAGACGCGGCTGTGATGTTACATCTATTGAGATGGTTATTATTATTATTATATTATTGTATCCTTTAGTTCCTAGAGGAACATAGGGCTTCAGCTGCGCACCTCCATTGACTTCGGTTTTCTGACAACTTTTTCACCCTGCTCCAGGTCTGTCCACATGCTTTCATCTCCTCCTCGCATGACCTCCTCCAAGTCACCCTTGGACGACCAACTCGCCGCCTCCCTTTCGGGTTCCACTCGAGGGCTTGTCTAGTGATGTCACTTGATGGTTTCCTCAGCGTATGGCCAATCCATCTCCATTTCTTTCTGCCTATTTGTTTCACAATCGGTTCCTGATTGGTTCGCTCCCAGAGATCCCTGTTGCTGATCTTTTCTGGCCATCTGATCTTGAGTATTGAGCGGAGACAGTTGTTAATGAAGGTTTGAAGTTTGTTTGAGATGCTCTTTATGACTCGCCAAGTCTCTGATCCGTATAGTAGCACTGACTTCACATTGGAGTTGAAAATCCGGATCTTATTTTTGATGCTGAGTGCTGTTGACCTCCACACAGATTTGAGAGTAATGAAAGCTTGTCTTGCTTTTCCGATTCTGGCTTTGATGTCCTCGTCAGTTCCGCCTGTAGTTGAGACGATGCTTCCCAGGTAGGTGAAGGAGGTTGTTTCTTTCAGGTTCTTCCCATTTATGCTTATTGTGGTCTGTTGGTGTTGTTGATGTTGGCTAGGAATCTTCATCATCTCTGTTTTATCTATGTTCACGTGAAGTCCTATCTTTGATGCTTCTTCTGCCAACTTGTTACTTTTCACTTGCATATCTTCCAGTTTATGGGAAATCAGACATATATCATCGGCGAAATCCAGATCCTCCAAGTCTTTTGTGTCAGTCCATTTTATGCCTGTTCCCTCGTTGGTTGCCGTTGTCTGTCGCATTATCCAATCAATTGCAATCAGGAAGATCATTGGTGATAGTAGACAGCCTTGCCTCACTCCCGTCCTCACTTCGAAGGCTTCCGTAAGTTTCCCGTTGTGGATTACTTGGCATGCAGCATTGTCGTATAACTGTTGGATGAGGTGTATAATTGTCGATGGGACCCCGTAGTAGCGAAGTAGTTTCCAAATGACCTCTCGATCGACGCTGTCGAAGGCCTTTTCAAAGTCGATGAAGTTGAGATAGAGAGGTGACTGCCATTCCAAGCTTTGTTCAATGATGATCCGTAGAGTGGCGATTTGATCAATACATGATTTGTTTCTCCTGAATCCAGCCTGTTCCGGACGAAGTTTTTCATCTAGGGCTTGTTTGATTCTCTCCAGGATGATGCGACTTAGTATCTTGCTTGGAATGGACAGAAGCATAATTCCACGCCAGTTTTTACATTGACTTAAGTCTCCTTTCTTTGGAAGTTTGAATAAGTATCCGTTCTTCCAATCCTCGGGTACTTTGCCCTCTTTCCACACCTTCTCCAGCAGTGGTGTCATCAAGTCCGCTGTTGTCTCTGGGTCTATTTTCAAAGCCTCTGCTGGGATTCCATCTGGTCCCGGTGTTTTCCCAGCTTTAAGCATCTTGATTGCATTCAGGACTTCTGATTTCGTCGGGGGGTCAGTGTTCACTGGTAGTTCTGCTTCCGTTGTTGGTATTGCTGGACGTGTTGTAGGTGGCGGACGATTTAGAAGTCTTTTGAAGTGTTAAGTATGCCTAGTCATCGCCTTCCTCGACGGGCAATGTTAGCTGACAGAGGGTTAGACTGGAAAAGAGCTAGCGGCGGTCAAACCAAAACACGGCTTCATCAGTCAATGAAATCCAAAACATTTAGTTTAAGCCAGTCACGTAGGAAGGTGTAGACTTCCTGGTTGGGGTCCTCAGGAGGGTTAAGATCAATCGCTGGGGATAATTGGTGATATGGTTCAAAACCGTTGTCAATGGCTGGCGCAGATGCAGCCACTCCTTGTGACTTATAATCTCCAATGAAACTATATTGCTCTTGGTTATTACTATTCCTTTTGACTCACATCCCTGTTTACTGTCTCTATTTTGCATTTCTTCTACTTTCTTCTCTTGCTTTGTGTTCGACATGGAGTGTGGCGACTTCAACTGCTGCACATTGGTGCAAAGTTCCATGTTGAAAACAGAGAGACAGACAGCCTAGAACCAGAATGAGAAACGAGATGGCTGTTTGAGGTTGATATGGAGAAGATGGTATGGGCAAGATATAAAAGGCAGTCATGAAGACATCTAAGAAATGACTACAGACAACAAAATGAAATAAAGATGTGCTACTAAAGCCCTATGTTCCACTCAGAGATGTCCCTACTTCGCCTAAAGACTCGAACTAATTATAAATGTGATTGGATCACACCTAGGAGATCCCCACGTCACCCGACAATACAAATCTAGTCTCTTTTTGCAGCATATGTACCACCTTCTGAAGAGTTTCAAACTAGCATGAAACAGATTTGCAATCATCTTTTTTTTTCAACACTTCGTTGGTTTAGACTGATTCAAGGTAGAAATATCCTTGAAGTCAGCTAAAGCATAATTTCTTTAAGTGGATAAGTTTTATCGCGTCTTCTTTTCCAGTTCTATTAAATATAAAGTTTTCGACCAATTAGATTTTGTTTGAGACTTTACATTGTAAAATATATTATTTATTTTTCCTGCCTGATGTTTTTTCACTTAGATGATGATTTTGAGTTTTACTAAAGTAAATCAATATGTAGGTTAATGGCATAAAACGACATAAACACTGTATCTGACAAGAATGTTTATTTCTGATGTTAGATGGTTGGAGGTAGTTAGCAGGAAGCCTTGGACATTCATCAACAAAGCGTATCTGCAACCCTGAGCGAACTCATGTCCCTTCCAAGGCTTCCTGCAGTTTGCCTCCAACCATCTAATATCAACAATTCAAAGTGCACCATGATGGCGAGCTATCTAGAATGGTGGCCACATTCCAAATCTGACTGATAGAATACAGTCTGCGTCAAACAAAGGACTAGACCCATCATACTGTGGTGAGAGCAGGCTACTAGCCAATTGGTAGACATTAATTTACGTCAATGTTTATGTCTCGATTATTGGTGGTGAGAAAATACGAACAAGACTGACTCAACAACCAATCACAGCAAATACGATTTGCAGATATATGGCTTAACTTTCTGAGAAACCAGTCACAAGCAGTACAGAATAACCTTCATCAGGAAACAACCAATCAGAAGACTGTGTTTGTCAGCTTGAATAAGCTATAATAATGTACATGAAATATGTATAAATACGTGCTGATTTCCTTAATAAACGATATGTTGCCTGGCCCTTGTCTTCTATTGTTACAATACTAGTTACTAGTGCTTAATGAAAGTTTATTTCGTCAGAAACAATATACTTTAAGACGGCGGATTCAAAGACAAGAAAACTTGAAGTTAATTTTGATTTAAGAAGCGCATAAGTATAAAATTGGAAAAATTGGTATACAGAGGACAATAAACCTTCAGACAATACTAAAAAATAAAGAGCAATGAATGCATGTTTTTTGCATTCTAGCTTTTGTTTGTTAGGTATTTTAATCAATAGTTTCAAGGTGCAGACTGTCCAGTTTGTTGGGTTTATCATAATCAACTTCAAAACTATATCTGCCTCGAGGGAAATATGATGGCTAAATGATATCCTATTTAATGGATACTGTACAAAAACATTTATATGAAATAAATGCCTTGAAAACGTGATATATATGCATATAGATACATCAATGTTTTCTAGAATTGGCTTGATGCCAATTACAGTTAGCAGCTGCTTTGAATTTCAGTAGTCAAGTCAATATTCACTAAATTCTGGGAATTGTAACGAACAAAACCGAAGTATTTCTGTCTGAAACCAAGCCGGTGTTATCCACACGCTGTACTGTACTCTTCCTTGAGTCATGCACAGTCAGCAGCTATTTTCAAGAATTATTAAAAAACGAATTAACATGATAAAGTTTGAGCCACTATTAATCATTTTCTAGTTTGACCATGGATTTATATCAGTTAGAGAACCATTGAAAACCAGGGAGTACTGGACAGTTGCTTCATCCTAGTGTGGAAATCATCGGCATTACACACCCACTGCGTTTCAAACCCAGGACTTTCAAGTTACAAGGCCAGCTCATGTACGATTCATCCACTGGGACACAATTCAATGGTCCATGAATTCTAACTTCTACCAATTCATGATTTTAGTGTGACCATTAACCAATGTCATTCAAGGGGTAATCCACCCTGAGTCCTGACTGGATGGACCTCACTGGTCACAACTTTTCACAAAAACTCCAGGAAACTCCGTCCTGTGGCAAGTCACTAGTGAGCAGCAGATTAATTTTCAAGAGTCGATTTGTAAGGATTAAATTTGTTTTCGAGTTTGACGACGAATTGATATCAGTTAGAGAACCTTTGAAAACTAGAGAGTACTAGACAACTGTTCCATCCTAGTTTGAAAATCATCGGCAGTACGCAACCATTATTAATCAAAAATGAGATATGTGTAAAACACAAAATTACCTGAACAGTGCCTTCAGGAAACTAAACAATCCAAAGGTTTCTTTGATCTAAAACACGTAGTATACAGCGAAATTCCTCGATGAAACATAACCATTAAATATCTGAGAATCAATGTGAATATCCCCAATAAAATGAGATCAAAACTGTCTCTGCTGGAGTGAAGTCAAATTAAGATGTTTCAGGTAGACAGTTCAACCTTAAGCAGACACTGCATTTCGCAACCTTTAGTTCACTTGAGTTGAATATCAACAGCATACAATATCATGACAACACATCATTGTCAGCAGTCTAGTACTACACAATAGTAAGGTGAAATATAGAAAATAAGATCAGCTTCAAACAAAGACAATATAACAAAGATTAGGTCAATAGTAAAGGCTAATGATTACAAATTAGTTGAAATAATCCAGTTATTACCAACAGATCGCTGAAAAAGAATTTTAGTATCAATCACTGTGTTAAAAGTACACTAACCATTATTTTATGCATGAGAAACAAATACATAAAGTGACGTTTTGATGTAAGTTGAACATATTCAGAGGATTTAAGTGCCTTATCAGTAGATGCACCTAGAAGCAGAGCTTACCTATAAAAAAAACAAGATTTTCACTATGTGAGCACTTGAATAATTTCTTTAAAAAGAATTTATTTCCTTCATTTTATTTCGTTTACACTGGTTTTTACAATTATAGCCTCCTACAATTAATTTTGACGCTAAACTTATTTAAACAAAGTAATAAGAAGACGTAGTATACTTGAATCGTGTAATAGGTATTTCAGCGAAGAGACTCTTTTTGGCGAATTCACTTTCATAGCTGTACAATCGCAAATATATATGGTTATTTTGTGTGTGTGTGTGTATACATTAAATTTGTCAAACGAAAATACAAATACAAAAATACGGATTACCGACGCCCTTTTTTAAAGAACTACTACTGAGATGTACACTCAATCTGCAATTCACATTCAATGAGATTATTTACAGACAACACGATGGGATCGCAATGGGATCTCCACTGGGCCCAGCGCTATCAGAGTGCTTCATGGCAAGCTTCGAGAACGCCCCACTCATATCAACCATTGACAATTTCCAAATGTATGTTAGATATGTGGACGACATCTTTATCATCTGTGATGACAGTCACGATCTCAATCAATTACTGCAAATATTCAACAAATGCCATCCAGCCACGAAGTTCACTCTAGAAATTGAAAACGAATCTAAAATCCCTTTTCTTGATGTTGAGCTTACGAGGAGAGCTGATGGAACTTTAAGAAGGTTCATCCATAGGAAAACTACATGGAACGGCCAACTGACAAGCCTCTGCAGCTGGGTACCAATCAGCCGGAAACGAAACCTAATTAAATCCCTTGCCACTCGCATCAGACGCATCTGCAGCTCTGACACCATGGAAGAAGAACTAAACTTCCCGAAAGAAATCTTCACACAAAATGGCTACTCATCAAGATTCGTAGACAAAAACATCAAACAAAAAATCCAAAAGCAAGAGATACCATCCGTGCCTAAAAAGATACTTCATATGAACCTGGACTTCAAAGGAAACCTACTTAGTGAAGTCCTCAAAGGGAGAATTTACACCTCTTTAAGAAGAACTTTCCCTGCGGCAACATTGAGAGTAGTGTTCTCCAGTCGCCCGCTGATCTCCAGAATCCCAAAGGACAAGATTCCGCACCTGACCACTTCTATGTGTATATATCAGTTCACCTGTTGCTGTAGAGTCAGGTACATCGGTCGTTCAACTCGCATCCTGTCGAAAAGGGTCAAAGAGCACTATCCAGCGTGGCTGCAGAAAGGAAGTAATGGCCGTATAAGGAGTGCAATAATCGAACATCTCGTCAATACTGGTCATTCCATCTCAACAAACGCATCCTTCAAAGTAATCTGCAAAGTGAAGAACAACCTTCCAAAGACATAACGATTCCATCTTCTTTGCATCGCAGAAGCCTTAGATATATTCAGTTGGAGGAACCAGAACTGTGCATACAAAAGAAAATTATTCAGCCACTTTTACAGTCATGATAGCAACTCTGTTGATTTGATTTAACTTTTGTTTGTTTGTATGATTTCACCTTACTTTTGTTTGTATGCTTATTTTCTTCTAACTACTTAAAACCCTTTTGTAGTTCTGTATATTATTTTGTTTCCATGTGCACCCTGAGCACAACTCATTCATCAAACTATTCACACCATCACGTAACTCTCATTTAACAATCATTTATGACAACTCATCACTTTTGTTACTAATCCCTTATATCAACATTCAATTCATCTGAACTTGCTAATTGTATTTTCGTTTGACAAATTTAATGTATACACACACACAAAATAACCATATATATTTGCGATTGTACAGCTATGAAAGTGAATTCGCCGAAAAGAGACTCTCCGCTGAACAACTTGTCTTTTGTCTATTAATGCTCGAATGGAAATTGTTCATGAATTAATAAGTATTTACACAACAAATTTCGAACAATCTGATAACACATGGACTTCTCATAGGAATATTTATGAAATTAATAATGAGTTAAGAGGTGAAAAAATAAATTTAGGTCAAGTTAAAAGGACATAGCTGAAGCTAAAAAATAACAATGAAGATCACTAAACCAAATAAGAGAGGTAATAATGCATTTATCCTGACTGGTATCAAAACAAATATAACCAAGGAAGGCTGTTTAGTGTGATGACGAATTGTTGCTTTCATCGCATAAAGGTGGTTTAAACTCCCTAATTGCCAGCTACGGCTTCCACGAACTTTTGGATACACCCCAGACACTTTCTATGGATAGGTTTAAAAGATGTGTAAATGTGAATTTTTTTTGTCCTGTCTCTATAATATGTTTCGCAATAGAGGAGCTAGGTCTCCGGTTCACAGCATTAATGTGTTCTGGGAATTCTATTCGCTTCTGGAGCCATTTAGGAATATGCTCTGAAGCCAGCTTTTACTTGTAGAGATAGATGAGTCCTCCCTCTGTAGGTGTGTTCACATGTATATTCAAATTGGGGAACACATTACACGATTCAGACAAATTACGTCTTCATATCGCTTTGGCTAAACTAATTATTACTATTATTTTCGTTTTTCATTATTCTCATTATGTATTCTTCCTTTTTACTTTGATTGCCGTTAACCAAGAACAGTCGATTGTTATATCAAATGATGCACAGTTTTCATCTTCTCACATTCCACCCGAGATGTTACGTCATTTGCTGAAATCCACGCTTTAGACTATGACAATAGTGAAGAAAACAAAGTGTTTATGGATCCATTCAATATATTTTTTATGATAACACCTTTGACAACTAATATATTATATAAAAAAGAATATCTGCCTTTGTAGACGTCCGCAATAGGGATTGGTTTAGAAGGGATTGTCATTTGGAAAATTTAAAAGTCATAATAAGCTCCTCCTTTACAATATAGAAATTCACTTAGGATCAATGTTACAAAAGCAGATATAAAAACGAAATGACGACGAGATCAATTTGGATTTTTGTGTGGAAAAATATGCAAATATATTTATATAAGAGTATAATACACACTTAACATTACTACAGTTGTTATTGTTTCTTTTTGCATTTTTAAAGCCTGCATCAGCTCGTGGCATTGGAATCAAATTAATACGTTCTTGGTCTGATATTCCTAAACAACGTCGTGTGCTCGTCCAGTCATATATCAATCAACCGTATTTAATTGATGGAACAAAATTTGATATAAGGCTATATGTTTATGTGGCAGGATTCAGTCCATTTCGTGCTTATGTTTACAGAGAAGGCTTAGTACGATTCGCTTCACAAAGGTAGACAATAATTTCTTTACATATCTATTCTCCATTTTGTTTTATAATAATAGTGAAATAAAATTCAGATTTTCGAATTATTTTTCAGGGTTTGATAGTGCCGCATGGTTCCTGATGGTTTTCTAAATAATTTCAGCTCTTAATGAAATCCACAGTAGAAGCAAACGTATCTGCAGTGATTGTGTTCTCTGAGCTGGATAGTTAATTTACGAAGCTTTCATCGCACTACTAGGTGACATCGTCAGCACATACTTCAATTTGAAGTGAGCTTTTAGATTTCTCCACGAGTTTATTAATCATCTCTCCTGGTGACCTTGGACGTGATTGGTTGTTTTTGTGTGTTTTCACACCTTCTAAGAAGGTGGCATCCATCTGAGCTACAAATCTCTATCATATCTAAGCAAACGCATTCATTAGTATGCCACTTAACCTAACGATTTAAACAAGTTATGTACTACTGATCATTATTAGTAACTGGAAACTTTTCACGTTGAACAGATCCACCATGTGACCTTGAGGCTAAACGGTCGTTAGAAGCTGAATTCACATATGGTGTACTCGATTATACTCAGCTCGAAGAGCAGAATAACTTTAACCTCCTCTCCCTTTTCGAATTCTGGCTACTTGCATACATAGTCAACCTTGGCCTATTATGAGCTCATTTCGAAATTTAAGATCTCCATATCTCCTGCACCTTGATGATCTACTCCCTGTCGCTTTCAAAACACTTAATTTGATTTGTAGCATTATTATTACCATTGTTAACGTCACTCCCTGTTATCCCTTGCATTCAGCGTTTCTTACTGATCTGAAATATTCATATACTCTGTCACTAAGCAATGGATAAGTGACCGCATGAAATAGGTATTTGTTATTGGTCATGGCTTTCACAAATGCACAACTATCGCTCATGTCATTAATAGTAGAACTTGAGAAGTAAATCACTCAGATCATTTATTTGCCCAGACAATTTTTAAATAACAAATATTAAATTTGAAACTAGACAAATTGCTTATGTCTGAATGAGTATTTACTAATAAAACATTAGTACTTAGAATATATGCCTGTTATGTCGATCAGCTGACTATCTACAAAATTTTACAAAAAGTTTATTTATCAAGTATTATTATCAATAGTCAATAAATGGTAATAAATCAGAACACATTTCTCTGTGCTAATTATATATGTATTATTATTGTTATTATTCTCCCTTTGGGTTCCTAGTGGAAAATAAGGCTTCAATTGCACGTCTCCACTTGCTTCTGTCTTCTGCTGTACCTTTCACCTCCATCCATGTTAGTCCATACTGTTTCAGCTCTTCTTCACACGATCTCCTCCATGTCACCCTTGCACTGACGTCCCACTCGCCGCTTCCCTTTCGGCCTGGTTCCACTCGAGCAATGGCCTGACGCGCGCGCGATGTCACCAACCGGCCTACTCAGCGAGTGTCCCATCCATCGATCTCCACTTTCTCCTGCATATTTGTTGGTTGGCGATTGTTTTGTTCTTGTTTTGTTTGTTCCCAGCCATAGTTTCTTGTGGGTGATTCTTTCCGGCCCGGCCATCTGATCTTCAGTATAGATCCAGCGAAGACAGTTGTTGATAAAGATCTGGTCTGCAACAGGCTGTTGGAAATATTCTCTGTGACCCACCCGCCAAGTTTCTGATCCATATAGAAGAACTGACTTGACGTTTGTATTGAAAATCCGACGGAATTTTGTTGTTGATGCAGGCTGATCGACGAATATTTCCAGATTTGTTTCAGGTTGATGAATGTGTTTCTCACCTTCCCGATTCTCGCTCGATTTGACATCCTCGTCCGTTCCTCCTGTAGTTGAGACAATGCTCCCTAGATAAGTCAATGAAGTAACCTCTTTCAAATTCCTCCCGTTGATGGTGATTGACGCTGGATTTTGCTGTTGTTGTTGTTGGCTGGTTATTTTCATCACCTCCGTCTTGTCTATGTTCACCTGGAGTCTTTCGACCAGTTTGCTTGTAAGTCTTTGATTTTGTGTGACATCAAACATAAATCATATACATAAACTATATATGTATGGCGAAAACAAAAGATCTCCAATTTAATAAAGGGACTTTACATTTACATTAATTAAGTATTAGTTAAATTTTTCAGTATGCATGAAAAGATATTTGTACGAAGGAAATAATTAACTCGATAAGTTATCAACTTTGACCACTGGCTGATATCAGTTAAAGAACCACTGAAGAACAAGGAGTACTAGACTCGTCACAGTACGCTCCCATGTTTTATACGAGGACTGAACTCAGGACCTTCAGATTACTAGGCGACCTCTTTGGCCATTCAGCTACTGGAATGGAATCGAATCGCCCAAAAGTTCTAAATTCTGTCAGTTTACAATAAATATGGCCACCAATATCCGGTGTCAATGGCATGTTTTCGTCCTGTCAGCTGACCTAATTTTCATCTCTGGTGGACTCATGAAGGTATCTATTGAGGCCTATCAAACTAAGACGCTACTCTCTGGTTTTCAATGGTTCTAACTTCTGTCAGTTCGCGAGTTTTACCGTTACTACTAGCCGATATCCTCACACCCGACTTCAGGATATTATTAGTCTTTACTTATCTCTAGAAATTCAACCAACTTTGTCCTGTAATCAGTCACCAGTGAGTATCAGATTAATTTTCAAGTGTCTTTCTGTGGAGACTTGATGTCTATACTGTTTATTTAGAAGTATACTAATCTCATATGTGAAACGTGTTTGATTTAAAGTTCAGTGGAAGTACATGAGTTTAAACAATAAATCCTCGGTAGAAATTAAATGTCATAATCATGGCTCTAAATTCAACTAGGGAAAAATACAAGTACTACGATTTATTTTTTTATTTGACTTGAACTGTCCATTGTTTATTATCGATAGATGAAATGAGTATAGATTAACCAGGTAACTTCAGGACAGTTTAAGCTAATCTTAATCTTGATAAACTTATGTTAGTTGCCTTTTCTTCCTACTAAGTTATGCAGCTTTCTATTATTACTATTTTCTCTGCTATTTCTGCTATATTTACAGATATTCTACGTCTTTTCAACATTTGGGGAACCGCTTCGTGCATTTAACCAATTATTCTATCAATAAGCATAATAAGAGTGATGAAAATTCTGTATCAAATCATAAATGGTAAGTAGTAAGTAAGATTGAGAATTGTTTTGATTGAACTATCCTTCTTTTCAGAGAATCTATCAGATAATGTCATTTCCTGTCCTGTTGGAAACGTGAATTATTTCCTTCGTTATGCTTTAGTTAATCTTGTTTTCTTGCCAAAAATCTTTTGTCTCTCAAATAAAAGAAAAAAGATGTATAGCTCAGGTGGATGATTTTGATCTGGTTGCTTTGACTGAGCTGGATAATTCAAAGAAAATCGATATCCTTACAATTTGATCAAAATGTTTAAACTTGAATCAAACTATCAGGAAAAAATCATCCTCAGAAACTACAAAAAATTTCGTCTTATCATATATATATGAAGAATGTGTCCGAAATAACAGCTGGAAAACTGCAACCATTCGGAAATAGATGTGGTACACAAACCAGTACAATCATTTCATTCATATACTATATACACTGAAAGGCCCAACAACGAAAGAGAATTCTTAGAAGCCTAATACTTAGACGAATTACTATAGATCACATTTATCAACTAATAAAAGAATAAGCCAAATGACAAAGATGTCAGATTCCATGTCGGCAAAAAACGATCAGTATAGATGCAAATAAACAACCCGTCACGATAATAGTTGCCAAGAGATTCACTTATATCATTCATAGGGAATTTCAATAAGTTAACCTGATATTGAAGATGTTGTCTAGAGGGACAACGACAGTCTCACAACTAAATTAAACAGTTTGGAGAACTCACCTACATCAAAATTCTTCCTCCCTGTTTGACAAACGGGAAGCGAACGCCTATCATAAGGAATGTATCTCAAATAGAGTTTACAATAGAACAAATACTTATTTTTATTAACACGCAAATATATACATTATAAATTGTTTAAATTAATAGCAGCGTGTTAAGAAAATCAAAACAAGATTTTTCTGAACGTTTCGCCCTGTAAGCCACAGCTTCTTCAGCAGATTTATTCGGATTTCTATTAATCATCAAGATATATATATATATGACATCCTGTTGTTAATGCACTATTATACTATGGAAATAGTATTCAGACGTTAACACCAACAAATACAATGATTCTTACTGTGAGAACAATAATCCGTTGGAATTCATTGTCTGCATCACACCACCACACAAGGTTCACTTCCATACTTATTACACAAAAGAATTTATATTCTAAGAAAGACTTAATGCCTGAATTACATAGTAGGGAAGAACTTCGCTGAAATATGCATCGGTTCAAGTCGAAACACTTCGATGATGTATAATTTAAAATAGAAAATAGGAATGCAGTGAAACCATAATAGATCAAGATGTATCGGAGTAAAAACAATTGGATGGAAAAACCAAAACAATCTGAAATTTCACCGGTGATTAGTCTATTCAAACTGATGTAGCTCTTAAATAAGTGACTTCTTTTCCTTAAACAAAGAGTTGATTTAGACCAATACTGAACCATTATCTTACATTTGAAAAGGAAACGCCAAATGCCCAAATTACATAAACTGTTTTTATCAAGGTGTCCAGAAGACTATGCTTTTTTCCCAGTATCCTTACCCAAAATGGAATATCATCAACCGAGTTTGAACACTATTCACTCTTTTCAATGTTCAGAGCTTTTCTAACATGATGGAGAGGTAGCTGAAAGGACAAATCCAGGACCTTTAATACAATGACATTAGTTCAACCAGTTATACATTCCAGCCTGATAAAAGGAGGAGATATACAAAGTCAAAAATCAATCATTACAAATGGAGGTTAGAATGGTTAAGACAGAACAGAACTTCCAGCAAAATTTGTTATATTCAAATAAGAGGGATAAAGAACATGGAAAAAAGTTTAACGTTAATGCCGAAAGGAGAAAGTATGTCAAACAAGACACACAAAGTGATTCAACAATAAGATAAAAATATTATTCAATCTAACACTGTTCCATAAAGCTCTAAGTAACCTAAGCAGTCAGTATCATTAGGGCTAACATAACCTTTTGAAACGATTCTTATAAAATAGTTTTCATTATAAAAAGAGTGTTTCAAAATATTAACACGAAGAGTTCTACAATTTCTTTATTCTTTTTTAATTCAGGAAATTAAGTAAATTGTGGTCATATCTAACAGAACGTGGAGTTGATGTACCCAGTTTATGGTCATGTATAACTGATATTATTTTCAAGACACTGGCATCTGTTGTTAGCTGTATTACTACAATGGTTGATCAGAATTGTCGAAGACGTGCATCAGTTTATGAATTATTCGGTTTCGATATCATATTGGATGCTGATCTTAAACCATGGCTTCTAGAAGTCAATGTATCACCAAGGTAGAATTATCTGGTTTTCTTTTATTTAAAAAAAAACACTTTTTCATTCCTTCACATTTGGAGTGGAACTCAGGGTTTCAAGCTTTAATCCTTGAAGTTTTTAGTAGCAGTGGTGTTGTTTTTTTATGGAGTAACTTTGCTAGTCTCATGCCAAATCTTCCCTCTTTCTCAGCCCTACTATTGGCTGAGAGGTTACCATTGCGTTGGCTGAGAGTCGAACTCAGAGCTTCAGCATAGCTGGTTAACGTGTCTATCATTGAACCACCGGCACACCAGAATTATGTTTAAGGATTATTTATCAAATATTGTTCGTGTACATCACTCTAAGTTACTGATTCAATGTAACAGAAATGTTTTATATCAGCAAAAGGAAAGTGTTAGAGTGTGTTATTGATTTTTCAATGTATCATTTAATTACTGGTTATAATCTACTTGATTATTTGTTTAGTAAATTGTTGAAATTGTTGACTGCAAACATATTATTTTTCAATTAAGGTTTATTTTCTCAAATAATTAAATGTTACTTAAATATGGCAAGGAATAATGATTCATTATTTGGTTTATTTTATAACAATTCATATAATCTATAATATACATCAAATGGCTTAGTTACACTCAGTCCTTGATTATATGTTTAGTCTGGGACAGTGTTCAAGTCAGTGAAAACGGTAGTCACTATTATACCTCATCAACGCATGAGTGCATGATTAGTTTGTAGGGCGAATTAGTTGAATAAAGGCTAAGTTAATAGGATTGCCCATCACCGATGATGAAGGTTGTCAGACGTGTTAAAGAGTCTTCAAATAAGCAATGGATAACAAACAATCTATCCATGAATTCTGACTGTTATTTTGAGCATGGTAGGTGGGTTTACACTGGCGTCCTCGGAAGGCTAACAACCAATGGCTAAGGAATGTCTATGATACACCCGCTAGACTACACCAATTCGAAAAATGTCTACTGTTTGATGAAGTGAAAGAGACTGTCATAAACAGAAATCTTCATTTGTGGCTCTAGAAATCGCTAAAAAGAAATAGTTACTACGAAACTTACAAAAGAACAACTCAGAGAGAAGTTGGTTGTGCATGGTGTCCAACAACAATAAACTGACAACATTCTGTTAAAATAGAGAAAGAGCCTCGCTAGGAAGAGAAGGGGGGAGGCCACAGTATCCTATACTTGCCAGTGATCCCACTTATCCTCCAATACAGTCATGGCGAATGGCAAGCCATGGAGTCCTAGTCAAATCAAGACGAGACGTCAAGAACCAGATGTTTACTGATTACTGATGCCTCTGACAAAAAATCATTCGGCCTAGAAGATACAATAAGCCTATCAAGACAGTAATTTTCGATCATATCCACCCCTCAGATCGCTATACTTCAGACAGATTAAGTGGAAGCGATTGCAATTACGGTTCAGACTGCGTTAGCGTTATTGGATACGAAAAAGCACGCTCAGAGTAACAAGGTGAAAATGGTGAAGTTTGCAGAACTGTGTAAGTTCTTGCCAGGCCACTTATCTAAATCATGAGAGGAGCGCTGTCATTGGTGTATTCAGCAATTTGAAGAAAAAATAAGCTAGCGGTGTTATAAGCCCCTAGTTGCCAGATGGATAGGAAAGCTTAAAGATGGTAGGGTTAAATGTTTCAGAAACAGATGACCTAAAAGAACTGTTTACGTCTGTGCGTCGAGCACTGACCAACCAAAGACAAGTAGTAGATCACAGAGCGTCCTTCCATTCTAGTACCCAAAGCCAGAGAGAGTGTGTGGAGGGATATGTATATGGATCTTGCAAGAAATGTCTCCCTTAGCTGTCAAGGTTTTTTCCTCTTATGATCCATTTCATGGGTAAAGTTCTCATTATTCTTCCTGTGACTATTCTTTCCGCAGTACATTTCTGTTTAGTTTCTTTGCATTCCTCTGACTTTGTGTGTGCTGTAACAAAGTTTGACAACCCGAACTGCTCTATTTCAACGGAAAGTTCTGGCTTGAAAATCCAATCAATTTGTCAGTCCTATGTTAAGCACAGCGCACAATTATTTATGTAGAACTCGAGTTAATTTGGTAGCTTGATGAATACCAATCAATGAACAATAAGCATTAAGATTACATAAGAAAATATCTGACCACTTGGTCTAGAAACTGACACAATTTGTGGATTAGACCAAAAAAGATAAAAAACAATGTAAATAACATGGTAATTTCCCTCGTTGTCAACAATCACTTCAAAGTAACAGAACAAACTGAGTCAAAGAGTACAGGTTGAAAACTCTGAACATTCTGTGTTCATTGGAACTTATGGTAGTTTATCTCTTTTTTCTTTATCTACGTTTACTTTGATGAACAAATCTAATAATCCCTTTGATTGGACACTGGTTAGTAACTAGTGTAATGTGTCTAGTCTTATCAGTCAGATTAACAATGTGGCCACCATTCTAGGTGGCTCATTATCACGGTGTACTATGAATTATTGACATTAGATGGTGTCCAATCAAAAGTATCCAATACAGTTCTACAGAAAGTCAATCGCGAGCCCGAATAGCTCAGTGGTAACATCTCTGACCGCAGTACTGGGTAACGTAGGTTTGAATTTCAGAAGGAACATAAGTTCCTTCAAGGTTGTAGATACGCCTTGCTGACTGGTGAAGGCCAACTAGCTTGAAACCTAAGTCCAAGGCTTTCTGTGACCGATTGCCTTCAACCATCTAATATGAACTAATCTAATAATCTTTATATCATCTTAGACTATCGTTGGAATTGATTATGTAACTAATAGAATACACTGTACTATTTATAATCAAGCTAAAGGTCTGACTTCACACACCTGTATTAGTTAAAGTAAATCAGATAAAGAAAAATCCTCAGAATCAAATTATTAATTTATTCATAAACTTCAAGATTGTGCTTGAATGAGGAATTTATTTGTACTATTTTAGGATGACACGATTTTTATGTTATGGTATATGTGGACGTTTAGGTTGCAATTCATGGGATGAAGACTAAAGTTGATCAAATTCATTACCATGCTAAGTCTGTAACATGCAAGAAAAAATTCCTCAAATAACTGGAAAGTTAGAGCACTTCACTTGTTTCTAAAAACCGACTGAAAGCCATTTTCCCTGCTTAAGGAATACATATATATATATATATATATATATATATATATATATATATATATTGAAAGTGTTTAAAACAAACCACGAATGTTAATAAAGCAGGACGTAATAAATCCACCAGGTTTCAGCAGAACTCTTAAGGTGAATACTCTACACACAGGGATACTCTACACTGGGACATATATGACTGATAAGTAAATAAAATACAAAGTATCAATCATGCAATTCAATAGGTATGATTGTATTATAAAGTTCAGATAGATAAGGGAGAAGGGATATGACCGATTAAGACAATAATGAACTACAGTTCAGCTGCATCATTATAATAAACAACCAGTTATCAGAGAAGGGACTTGAAAATGTCAGGAATCGTAAAATGAATAATAACAATAATAATGAAACGAGTTAAGATGATGCTACTGACCAAAGAAAGTTTTTTAACTTAAATAAGAATAATAGTAATAGACTGAATGAAATAATTACAGTTGTAACAGTTAGTATGTAAAAGATCACTATTTCATTTTGAACACAGAGACCAGGTTTATATACTTTAACTGCACAGGCCTCCTCAGTGCCAAGCACCTTTATGTCTGTCTGTCTGTTTGCTGACAACAGTTAATGACTTGACAGCTGCAATATCGTATCCGAGGTCTAGCCAATGCCTCTTTTATTGAACTTCTTGGCATCTTGACCTGAAATGTTTTCGATCACTTGGGTGAATGTCTCATCATACGAATAGAGCCTATGTATTTACTTCTAAAAACACACCCAAAGTGAAAATGTATTTAGAGTGTTCAGCTGAAGAGTTCTACCAGAACTTGATGATATCATATAGCCCTGCTTTATTAATATTATCTAAATCAGTTAATAGTATGTAGTTCTATGCATTTATACTACGTTTCTTGGCTAAAGCAGACCAAATATTGGGATCGGATATATTTTTGGTTTCCAAATGGAACTGTGTTGAAATTTCACCTGGAACTGAGTAAACTGAGAATTGAACTTACCAACATTTATTGCTTGTTTTGAATTCCTACTAAGAAATAAGTGTTTTCAATTAGAAGGATTTATTCACACGTCTAACGTATAGATAAATGCGACTCGAATTCTACTGTTCAATCAAACATTTCACAGGTAACTCTTACAAGGTGGTTGACATACACAGAAATAACTTATTATTATTATCTATTAAACTATCTTCAAAATGTATGCCTGACAACATGCAAAAAAATAGAACAATTAATTACTAATGAGCTTAGAGGAACAGTAAGCCGTTCATAGCACTGGAAAGAATCTCCCGTCAAGATAACATCAAAATCGTTTTAACTAATACACCTTCCGAAGATTTGTGAGGTGTTGCTAGATTTTAACGAAAACGAGTTATTGAAGTATCTTTTCAACTTCAATCACTAATCCACATAACACCAAACCAACTTCAATCTGAAATATTAAACATTAGCAAAAGCATGTTACATGTTTAATTGTTGGTTTGCTGGAGTCTGACTGATTTCATTTCCAATCACAAATGGACTTCAGTTAGAGAACCACTGAAAACCACAAAGTATTCGAAAGCTCGTTTTGTCCTAGTTTGGGACTCTTTAGAAGAAGTACCCATGATCATCAATTTGCTGTTGCGTTATATCACAAATTGGTAGTAGTTAGAATTGATGAGCGACCGGTTTCTATCCCAGTGTCTGAACAGTAAACAAGTCCTTCTTGTAACCTGAACGCCCAGGGTAAAACTACGACTAAACCGAAGTCCAGTACTCCCTGGTTTTCAATTATTCTTTGACTGAAGTTAATCCGTCATCAAAACTGAGGCATGTAACATTGTCATACGTTTAAAAGTAGGACATTCTTTAGCTTTAGAGGCAGTGAGTGGAAATACTTCAGACAGTGACATTTCTAGTACACTCAATAACAACATAACATCGATTTAATTAAAATGCAAGCTCATACAAGTAATAAATCACCGAGTGGTATAATCAAGAAATACATAATTCATCATAAAATGAGATACTGAAAACTAATTCACTTCAATCCAATATATTTCTGTGTACACACATTTCTGGAGTTTATGGACCCTTAGTTAGGACTCATAGAAGTTTGGACATACAGACGATCTACACTTACCAAACAAATATTTATCAGTGCATTTTACCCTAATGATTATATGTCACTGTTACCACTATTCACCCTATATAGGTTTACCTCAAATTCACTGAAGAATTGAAACGGTGTACACTTAAATATTCTTAAAGTAGTAGGGAACATTTATAAAGTATTTATTACTTCTAAGTAGTTCTGTATCGTACGCCAGTCCATAGGGTCTGCTGTTTTCAAATTCAAACGATCTCCTTGTGGATTTTGTCACAAGACAACATAAATTAGTAATTCATTGAGAACTAACTAACACTGGGCAGTTGTTGCGTCCTAGTTTGGAGATTTTTTAATGTTCATTACTCCACCAAGGATTGAACCCAGGACCTCCAGGTTATGAAGCCAGCCAGTTGACCTATTCAGCTACCAGTCTGAAATTCAATGATCTCCGAATTCTTTTTTTCCTTTACGTTCCCAGTGTAACATAGGGCTTCAAGCTAGTGGCTTCAAGTTTCTGTAGCAGTGTTTATTTTTACAGGATGGGGCTGCTAGCCTCATGCCCAACCTCCCCTCTTTACCAATCTTATTACTGGCTTAGCGAGGTAAAGGAGTGCGTCGGCCGGTGATCGAACCCCGGAGCACATGCATGGTCGGCGAGCATCCTAACTGATATGTCGGCGACCATACCACGTTGAAAGCACCGGTTCTCGTCTCCGAATTCTAACTTCTGCTATTTCCGCGATATGGTATTGCCACCAACAAGTCTCGTCGATGAAATGGCTTTCTAGTGCACCCTGATTCTCAATATCTGTACAAATGATGTAGGTTCGTGATGAAATCTATATAACTCGAAATTTTAATAAAAATTCAAAATCCTAATGTAGTTTCATTTGAAATAATCACATTAAAATAGATTAACTTGAATATATATATATATATATATATATATATATATATTTATTTATTTATTTATTTAATTATCATGGGATCAAATTATTAATCCTATTCCTATTATCTATACCATTACCTGATATATATAATTAGCAATATATGTAGAGCGATGAATTTGCATACTTAACTCTTTGTCACATGACAGTGTCAACAATTACAGTTCCCCTTATTTAAGTGTCATTTGTTATAGTACATACAAGGCATGTAACACTAGATTAAAGCAATGCAAAAGCCTTTTGATTTTATTCAGACCACTTGTCGTATAAGATGAAATGTAAATAGGTAAGATGCAATGTTCTGTGATTTATGTGCACATATAAATTATTACTTATCTTGGTATATCATGGTTATTCACAAGTTAATGTTAACACCAAGACATGAGGTAAGAGGATACTGAGTGTTGTTAAGTTATCCTCTGATAAGTCTTTATAAAACTGAAAAATATCTATACATTATTTTGTAATTTCTTGAATTCATTCCTTTTTATTGATGAACCAGTTCAATATCTTTTTGTGATCAACTGATATGAGGGCAAAAGTACTATCTATAAACTTCAAATTAGTGCCTTACTTATCTTGTCAATTATAAATATCCATCGGGGATCTTTGGTTGTATTCAAAGTTATTTCTTTTATTCCTTTGTGTTTCCAGTGGATCATAAGGTTTCGAGCTTGCCTCTTGTAGTCTCAGTAGCCTCCCCCTCCTTATCGGGCTTCCTACCTGTAAAGCGGAGTTTAGGAGTGTGTCAGCCGGGAATCGAACCAAAACCGCGTGCGTTATTAGCAACCATCGACACATTCAAAGTTATCAGTTCTAGTTGTGCTTACCTCATTTTATCAAACCGTTTGCTTTCATATCTCATTTTCTTCTTTCTGTACAAAGCTCACAACTTAAGTATTTTCTCAAAATTGTCATAATCAGGAAATAAATCGTAAATGTTTAGAATTACGAGAGAAGTAACTAGACACAAGGTTTGAAATCTTCCTTTGCATATCAAGCCTTTTTCTAACTTGTGTTTTATACCGATACCAAGACAAAGAATGTACATCGTATATGATGGATGTCGATTTAGTTTAGTCAACGGTAAATAGCAGGGAGAACCAGGATGCACCTTTGATCCTATTTGAGACTCATATAATGGATCCATTTGCTTCCATACAGATTCAACTACATTACGCATAATTTCAGTTGCCATGGCGTTGTCTGTTAGTCCACAAAAGCCACAAAAGTCATCTCTTATGCAACGGTTATTGGTTTCTTCTTGTTTAAGTATTTGTATTCCTCACTGATTATTTTTTTCTTAGTCAAAATGATCGGTCTGTTCAGCATGCCCGCTCCTATGACGGATGGTTTGACTATATTTGAAGGTCAAAATGGTATCCCTCCTAAGAGTGACATGTCAGCTGAAACCAAGTGTGCCAGTCCAATAAAATTCGGTCAAAGTAATTTACATAAACAAAGACGTCAAGCCTACGTCAAAGAACTCATTGAATAAGCTATTTCTCTCACTAGTCAATTCAAAAAACCTTTGTAATCGGTGTTAGTATAGTTATTTGAAATACTTAGCTAAAGTCTGGGAGTTATCAGCTTCTCAAGTACTGGTTTGCGGAAATCTGATTGGTTTTAACAATGACCGCGAATTGACCTTAGTTATGGAACCACTAAAACCTAGGTAATACAGAAGAACCGTCCGGCCGCTGTTCAGGACTCTTCAACAGAAGTTAGAATTTATTTTACTTTTTTTATTACAGCTTGATTCCACACTGTATTTTTGCTACAAGTATGGAATTTTCAGCATGGATATCGGTAGTCCAAATTTTGCAGGCCGACCATAGATATCAGGTGTGCGCCGGCAGGGGATCGAACCTTCGGCCATGTGCATGGTCGGTGAGAGTCCTAACCACTGTGCCACCGACGGACCACTAGATTCTCTCCCACTAGCTCAGTGGTATGCAGACTCACTTTTTTACCGGAAGTTCATGGGTTCCATCCCCATTTAGGTCATGGGTGGATACTGATGTAGAGTCTCAAACAAAGGCTAAACAGGTGTTTTGTAATACTTGGTTTTCAGTGGTTCTCTAACTGAAGTCATTTCGTGGTTAATCTTGTTTCATTTCCAGTTAATCTTTCCTCTTTTCATAATAAGACCAGTAAATAAGTACGTACTATCTATTTTAGTCTGCATACAAATACACAACTTGATGATGAAGTGAAAACCTCCGTAGTAAAGGATATGTTTAATCTATGCGGATTTCAACTGCCACCAGACTATCGTTCATCTCAGTTATCATCGTCAACAACAACTCCATCAAAATTAACACCTAACAGTAAAAATACAAATTCTAATGCAAGTGCTATCGCGGGATCATCATTCAATGAGAAAAATCAATTTTCGTCATGGAGTCACTATATTACTTCTAATAATAATAATAATAACAATGATACGGATAATGGACAGTTATCCAACAAGTGTTTATTCAATTCTTCAAACTCTAATAATTCACAACATCATCATCATCAGCCTCATCATAATTCATCTGCTTCCTTATTAACAACACTTCAAAGAGGTAATTATTCACCCAGTGGGTTACCTCCACCAAGTCCATCAATTAACAGTAGTAATAATATCCATGTGAAACGTTCTCAATCATCATTGTCTACAAGAATGACATCAAATAAAATGAGTGAAAAAAATTGTTCAGGTAAAGATTGTGTAAATAGTTCTAATCATCTATTCAATAATTTTTCTAATAAAATAATTATAATAGATTCATGTCTACCTATTACGGATCCACGATTATGGGATATTAGTTTGTCAACAGAAGATAAACGGAAACATCTATTTTATTCATCATTAATGACAGATAAAGAAAAGGTTAGTTCCTTCCTATTGTCAGTTTAATCTTTATGAAATACATGTATATATCGATATGGCTTTTTCTACTATTATTGCACATTTTATGTAGCACTAGAAGTAGTATTTTAAAGTACTAGCGATTTAATGTAAGAGTTGGATTCGGAAACTGTGAAATTACAAAATTATGGAATGATGAGTTATAAAAACGTATAACATTTGAAGATATGTGTAGTGGATAACTTTATATATTGTGCGTATTATTAATTATTCCTTGAGTTCCAAGTAGAACAAAGAGCTTTAGCATCCCATCTTTATTGTGCTAAGTACTTTGTTGTCAATTTTTAGGTCACTTTGAAACTGATAAAACAGCTTTCATTTTCTCTTCACAAGTTCTTCTGCATGTCGCCCTCTGAAATACGCTCAACCGGGTGTTTCTCATTCAGCTTTCATTCTAGGGGCTGGTATGAGATGTCACTCGGCGGTCTTCTCAGGGTATGTCCAATCTATTTCCTCCTCCTTTTGCATATTTGTTGTCTGTTCGCAGCCGGTTATTTGATCTTCATTAAGAAGCTGACAAAGGCAGATGTTGATGAAAGTCTGCTTTTCATAACGCGTTCATCACTAAGCGTTTGAAGCATCATGAAGAATCACTGACTTGAAATTCGTGTTGAAAATTGGGATCTTTTTCCATGTGCTTAATGTTGTCCATCTCCACACGGTTTTTAGGTTAATGAATACCTGGTTCGCTTTCCAAGTCATGATGGAACTTGATACCCACATCCGTACTGCCTGTACTTGAAACAGCACTATCGACGTAATTGAGAGAGAGAGAGACAAGCAACTTATTTTTAGATTTCACCCATTGACGGTGATTGTTGTTTGTTTGTGGTGGTTGATAACCTTCAATTGCTTCACTTTTGTTTTCTCTATGTCGACATTTCCCGAACAAAATTGATCTACTTAATTAGCCTTTAAACAGTCTCCATCGCAGAAGTCTCTACTAATCACAGCTTTGTTCAGAATAATAAAGTCTTGAAGTAACATATTTGTAAACACTCACCTGTAACCTATTAATCATAGTCCCACTAGTTTTTCTGTAAAACACATAATGATAATAGTGTATCTCAATGAAATTTGTGTAAAACAGCTTCAGTTTTCTTTAAATGACTAAGCAAAGCAACACTTCAAATCACAGACTGCTTGTGTTGCATTTTTTTCCTTCACGTTCCCAGTGGAACATAGGGCTTCAAGCTAGACGGTTGAAGTTTCTGTAGCAATCTTTATTTTTACAGGATGGTGTTGCTAGCCTCATGCCCAACCTTTCATCATTATGAGCATTGTTTCTGGCTGAGTGAGGTAAAGGAGTGCACCAGCCAAGGATTGAACCCTGGACCATGTGCACTGTCGGCGAGCGTCCTAACGCTATGCCACCGACGCACTGTATTGCATCTACCAGTCTAAAAAAGATTATTTCTATTCTGATCAAGTTTTCAAATGTAAGATGTAACTGTTCATTTCCTGAAATTTTCAGTTCCAACAAATAAATTTGTCGATTTTACGTTATCAACGATCAATCCAGGATGTTTCTGCAATATTGTCTTTTAAAACTACAAAACAGGATCCCTTAAACATAAGTTTACATGCACACGAGATAATTTTTCCGATTGTTGAATAGCATTGTTGTTTTATGGGTAACAAGGATTCCGTAGAATTATCCTCACTTCTGTTCTGCTGATAAACTGAATTCCACTTGCAGAAGATTGGTAGCTTAGGTAGATGATTTTGAATTAGTTGTGTTCTCAGAAGCTGGTTGATTTAATTGAGAAGTTTTTGTCGTCCCACTTCTAGACAACATCCCCTTCAGCGCAGGTTTTAGTTTAAAATGGACTTATTCGAATTCTCCATGAATGATGCAAGCGTATCTCCTGGCAACCACTGTCGTGACTGGTTGTTAATTCACGTCTCTATTGTTCATTTTTATTGACTTAGAATTCAAACTTTCTTGTCATGCGATTTACTTTTTACTAGCTGGTCAATTTGGTCTATAGTAATGTGTTTGTTTATCACTGATTCACTTGAGTATCAGTCTTCTTGAAATTCCCTGACTGCATTTTTGGTGTTCCCTCTATTTAAAATTTCTACATTATCCTAATCAAACTGCTAACTATAATTATCCCCATGCATTGATATAAAGGAGCATATATCATGTCTTTTTACAGACAATTTGTATTCCTGAATTCGGATTCGAAGGGAAAACCTACTTTGACCGATATAATGTTTATTGCAGTTCATGCATGCAATTTATTTTGTAAAGGGTATTAATTTTATCTTCGTTTCCTGTTAGATCTTTCGGTTTGTACAATATCGAATGAAGTGATTGTGTTAGCTGGCTTGTGTTCTATATCTATTTTAAAGGTATTAATATTCGAGATGTTATTTCATATATGTGCGTCGGTGGTATAGCGGTTAGGACGCTCGCCGACCATGCATATGGTCCGGGGTTAGATCCCCGGCCACGGACGCACTCCTTTACCTCACTGAGCCAGAAATAATGCTGGTAAAGAGGAACGGTTGGGCATGAGGTTAGCAACCCCATCCTGTAAAAATTAAATGCTGCTACAGAAACTTCAAGCCATTAGCTTGAAGCCCTATGTTCCACTGGGAACGTGAAGGAAAAATTATTTATTATTATTTATTTCATATATATATATATATGGTAGGATGAATTTTCTTCTTGTCTTTGATGTTGGCTTGTTTTTGGTGTTATGACTTGAGTTTACAAAACGTTTTGATAACATTAGGTGATTATTCACTCTTTTCGAAGACGTTTAGTAGGTATTTTTCTTCCATTATCTTCAACAAAGGAGTGCTACAATGTGTTTAAACTCTTTTAAATAATGGCTACGCATAGTTCCTTTTGTGAGTTTTTAAGCTATTACTGTTATAGTTGAGTATTTGATCTCTGTGCGTTGATTTTCTGTATAATTGTTTTTCTAATATTCCTGTGTTAGTTTTCTTGATTAAGATATCTAGGAGTGGAATTTTGTTATATAATTATTCTTCTGTTGTGAATTTGATGCCTTCAGATATGTTGTTTATTAATTTATGAGTATATTCCAAATCATTTCTTTTAATTATTATAAATGTCTTATCAACGTAACTTAGCTAAATTTTTGCTTTAATTATCGATAAGGCTGTGAATCCTAATCTTTGCATAACGGTTTCAGCTATTAATCCTGATATGGGCTATTTCGTTGATGTTCCTTTTATCTGTTCGTATATTTGATTATTGAAATGAAAGTATTTTGTAAGACATAATCCTATGAGTTTCATCCAAGTTGAACATTGCGTATTTGTATTCTCATCGCTATAAAGTAGTTGTTGCATAGTTTCTGCTGCTAGTTTTCGGTCAATCGAAAAAATATAATGCAGTGAAATCAAGGGATACCATTATTTCATTGTCATCTACTTGAAAGTCTTTGATTTTCTCTATAAATTGGATTGGTGAACTGACACAAATAGTCTCATGATTCTGTTAGTTATTTGAATTTTCTGAAAAGTCCTTTAAATAGATTATAAGTTGGTATTACTGGCAGCGAAACGGTTGGTCTTGAGGGAATGTCTGGCTTGTGTAGTTTCAGTCTATCGCAAAATCAAGGTAAAAAAACAGGTCCGTTAAATTTCATTCTCCATTAATCTTGTTTTGTAATCTGTCCGGATTTCGTTAGTTTATTTTGATTTCGTCAACTTATTCTTATATAGGGTTTTTTGTCAACTGTTGATATACATTATTATCTTTAAGAAGTCATCTGCTTTCTTTATGTAGTCTTCTGTGTCCATGATTACTGTAGTTCTTCCTCTGTCAACTAATAGTATAACTGTGTTTTTCTATTCTTCAATTGCTTCAATATATTTTGCTTGTGAGTGTTAAGTTGGATATTATGTTTTTCTGTTTATGGGTATGATACATTGACGTATTCCTTGTTGTACTTCCTCATTTATGTCTGATGATTTGAGTGATGATTCTAAAGAAACTCAGAAATATGTTTCTAACGCGTTATCAGTAGTTCTTCTATTGATCTTGTTCTTCTATTTTTGATAATGGTTGTCAAGACAAATTTACTACGCAACCACTGAATGTTTCTTCAGATAATTGTTTAGAAATCTTAGCCAGTTTTTATCTGTGAGGAAAACTCATCTTTGTTCTTTATATAGTTTGTCTGATATTTTAATGACAGCTTTCAATAGTGATAGACGTTCCAGATTGATAGTTCATCCAACTTTTTCCTTTTGAAACTGAACCATATGCTGGTATCTTTTAATCCGACCGTGTGCATCAGTGATCATTAGTTCCACCACTTGTTTTCCATGTTGTTTGGTTAATTTTTTCAAATTCATCTTAATAGACAGTAATACTAGTAATAAAGAACACAAGTTTCTTTGAATGTTTAGCATATTCATTCTGCAAGTGACATTCTGTAGTATAAATGTTTGCTAAATGGTATTGGTGCCTGATTACATACCTTCAGTTTAACCAGTTGACTTAAGCAGTGAAGGTAAGCAGCACTCAATACTGAGTGATAATGATAATGTAGCATGATAAGTTCACGGAATTACTTCTGCCTATAAGCCAATTTAAAGCATGGAAATGTGACTTGGTTGTAGTACCATTTTTCTACAAATTTTAATTGATTAGACAGTGTAACTTAATAGTGCTACTTATTGTTATGAACCAATCTGGAAATCTTTGTCACTCAGCCAGCATCAACAACAAAATTCCGTCGGATTTTAAATACAAACGTCAAGTCAATCAGTTCTTCTATACGGATCAGAAACTTGGCGGGTGGGTCACAGAGAATATTTCCAACAGCCTGTTGCAGACCAGACCTTTATCAACCACTAACTGTCTTCGCTGGATCTATACTGAAGATCAGATGGCCGGGACAGGCCGGAAAGAATCACCAACAAGAAACTATGGCTGGGAACAAACAAAACAAGAACAAAACAATCGCCCAACA